AGAAGAGAATGGAGGAAAAGGGATTGTAGCGTGGCCATCCCCCCTGGGGGATAAACCTCTCCAAAAACAAAAACAAAACAAAAGATCTCCCTGGAGCTCTATTACACGATCTTGTGTATATGTAATGTTTCTAGAAGGACATGTAAGAGACCGTCAACAGGCGCTGCTTTGCTGGAGGGAGTCTGGGGGACTCACGGTCTGACAAGGGCGGAACATGTCTTGGTATCTTTTGTACTGTTGGGATTTCTTTTACTGTGTTTATAATTTTTGTTTACTATAAACACTAGTTAAAATTTGGGGCCAGCAGATGGCATGGTGGTTAAGGGCAATGGACTCCCATATGGCCGACCATGATTCACATCCCAGACCTGGCAGCTTGCTTTCTCTCTCTCTCTTTCCGTCCCTTCCTGGTCAAATTAAAACAAACAAATAAATAAAGTTAAATAGAATAATTCTTTTTTAAAATTTCTTGACTGGATAAGAGAGTGTTCTGAGATTAGATTTTAATATTTTTCTGCTTCCATAGCTGGAGGCAGGGTCAGGGCTGGCAGCAGTGGGCATATGTGGGCCTGCAGGTGGAAGTGAGCATCTGGACAAGCAGGTTAGGAAAGCCCCTGGGCGGTGGTCCTGGGGTAGGGTAGGGAATGAGCATCTGAGTCCCAGCAAGTGAAATTCATCGAATATCTGACTGCAAAGATGACCTGATAGGACAAGCTTCTGATGGAATAATGTAAAAGCCTATCTCGTATGGTGTGAAAGGTTCATCTTGATGAAACGCTTTGTTTTTTTAACATGAAGGATTAAAAACAACAACAACAACGACAATAAACTTTCTTAGTACATTGGGACACAGGCTTTTTTTTTTTTCCTTCCAAGAGTTAGAAAGACAAAGATAGACAGCAAAAATGTTTAAATCCATGGATTTAATCCTCCAACAGGGTCCTGATGCCACAATCCACAGCCGGCCTCAGCCAGCCCAGGACTGGAGGAACCAGCAGTTAGCGTAATGGCTATGTCGCTGGACTCCCATGTAGTTGACCGCGGTTCGAGTCCCAGACCCAGTGGCTTAAACTCACACCGAGCGCGTGTGCATGCGTGCCCAAGATCCTGAGAAGAGAATGGAGGAAAAGGGATTGTAGCGTGGCCATCCCCCCTGGGGGATAAACCTCTCCAAAAACAAAAACAAAACAAAAGATCTCCCTGGAGCTCTATTACACGATCTTGTGTATATGTAATGTTTCTAGAAGGACATGTAAGAGACCGTCAACAGGCGCTGCTTTGCTGGAGGGAGTCTGGGGGACTCACGGTCTGACAAGGGCGGAACATGTCTTGGTATCTTTTGTACTGTTGGGATTTCTTTTACTGTGTTTATAATTTTTGTTTACTATAAACACTAGTTAAAATTTGGGGCCAGCAGATGGCATGGTGGTTAAGGGCAATGGACTCCCATATGGCCGACCATGATTCACATCCCAGACCTGGCAGCTTGCTTTCTCTCTCTCTCTTTCCGTCCCTTCCTGGTCAAATTAAAACAAACAAATAAATAAAGTTAAATAGAATAATTCTTTTTTAAAATTTCTTGACTGGATAAGAGAGTGTTCTGAGATTAGATTTTAATATTTTTCTGCTTCCATAGCTGGAGGCAGGGTCAGGGCTGGCAGCAGTGGGCATATGTGGGCCTGCAGGTGGAAGTGAGCATCTGGACAAGCAGGTTAGGAAAGCCCCTGGGCGGTGGTCCTGGGGTAGGGTAGGGAATGAGCATCTGAGTCCCAGCAAGTGAAATTCATCGAATATCTGACTGCAAAGATGACCTGATAGGACAAGCTTCTGATGGAATAATGTAAAAGCCTATCTCGTATGGTGTGAAAGGTTCATCTTGATGAAACGCTTTGTTTTTTTAACATGAAGGATTAAAAACAACAACAACAACGACAATAAACTTTCTTAGTACATTGGGACACAGGCTTTTTTTTTTTTCCTTCCAAGAGTTAGAAAGACAAAGATAGACAGCAAAAATGTTTAAATCCATGGATTTAATCCTCCAACAGGGTCCTGATGCCACAATCCACAGCCGGCCTCAGCCAGCCCAGGATGAGGGGCATGCCCACATACTCAGAGTCTCTCTGGACGTGAACCTGGAACCTGCCCATGCGGGTCGGTTCACAGAGCAGTGGGGACTGTGCCACCATCTAGCCCCTGGGACACGAGGCTTGTAAGAAGTTATGGGACTGGAACCAGCGGATGGCATAATGGTTAGGTTGCTGGACTCACACAAAGTCCACTGTGGTTCTAGTCCTGGACCTGGCTTAAAACTCATGCCAGGTGCGTGTATGTATATGCCCAGAATCCTGAAAGGAGAAGGGATTGAGGTGTGGCCATAGCCCCTGGGGAGTGATGTCTCTGTCTCTGTCTCTCTGGTGAGTGCATGAGCCCTATAGCAAAAATCTCTCAAACAAACAAACAAAAAAAGTTATGGGACTTGGGGAGATTACCTGGAGGTAGGGATTCTGAGCCAAGAAAAGGATGACCAAGTGTAGTTTTATTACCAAAAAATTCAGCATTTGGTCTTTATTTCCACAAAAAAAGAGTATGTCAAGGATCATGCCCAAGAATGTCCTTATTCCTTTCAAGGATTTGGCTGTGTGCTAGTGAGTTGGTCTCCTGCTTAGAGTACAGAGCAAAAACCTTCCATTATTTTTGTCTGTGTGCAAGAAGACAGTGGGAAGGATGGGAGTCCTAACCTGTCCCTGGTAGGTGCTCTGCTCACTGGCCCAGTCCTTCCTCAAGGAACTTCCCAGCTCAGGATGAACAGAGATCTGTGGCCTGCCTCCTATCAGAGGATAGGAGCCCAGGGACTTGACCTATGGAACACCTATGGTACAGTCATAAGCCCCTGCCAACAGTTCAGAGAGAAGTCCTAGTCAGAGTGATATGTGCAACTGACCTAGGCCCACTGACAAAACTCAAGGTTCTAGGGAGAACCTCCTTACAGAATGTAAGTGACAAAGCGTGGGTGGAGAAAGGGCCTGAGTTGGTCTTTTCCCCAAGTGACTAAGCCCAGAGTAGAACAGGAAATGAGCTGCAGAACAGGCCCGAGCTGAGATGGCAGGAGTGGAAGCTGGGGGCAGGCTGTGCCTGGTCCAAGCAGAGAGAAGCTCAGTTGGGAAAGAGGATCCATAACTGGGGAAAGGCCTCTACAGACCCTCTAGTCTAGCCCCTGCTTCTTGGTGGAAACTGAGGCCCAGAGGGTAGAAGGACTGTTTAGTATTACCTGTCGGGACTGAGCTCAGTTCATGGCTCAGACCAACCTGCCAGTCCAGTGGCCCCCAGGACAGGCCTGGCCTTTGGAAACTGGAAGCATTAGTGAAGTGTTTAACCAGCTCTTCATGAACTCTCTTGCTACCAAGCAACAGATTTCTACAGAATTCCATGGGAGGGAAACCACTTGAGTAACCAGGAATAATACCAAACAGTTTCTCTCTAACCCAGAGCCCTGCACCCTACCGCCTACCTCTTCTTTCTTCCAGAACAGAGACTTCACAGTGGGTGGAAATCTCTTGATCCAGGAAACATAGACCAACTCTCTGACCCCATAGGTCTGATGGTATTCCGATGGCTTTCCAACTGCCTTTGGCCGACGATTGGTCTAAGGGTCAGTGCGCAACCTGGTTGTGGCCAATAAGATATAAAGGGAAGTCTGTCTGGGGTGTCTGTCAACACTTTTATTTTTCTAATAAAAGGGAAAGATGCAGATGCAGTTGGCACCACCATGCTCATGCCCTGCACCCCTTTCTTCCTGCCTCAGAGCACAGATGTGTACAAGGGGCAAGTAGGAGGGTAAAAGTGTGATGCCATCTTCAGATGACAGGGAAGGCCTAGAGCCCAAGTCCTTGGTGGCCTGAATGATCTGTGGCACCAACACCGACACCTGAAACCTCCCAGACTTCCTGTTACATAAGCACTGAATGGCCTTACGGCTTAGGCCACTGCTCACTGGGTGTTTGCAGTCGGAAGCATTCCTACCTAGCACAGGCCATACCTGTCGGTGCTTCTTAGAAACAGCCATCGGTTTGCCACCCTCCTTAGCTGTGAGCTCTGCTCTCTCGCATGCAGAGTCCTCTGCCCACCCCACCCAGCCCTCCCGCTCATCCGTCAGTGCCCACCTTGCACGACTCCCCTGGCCTTGCTCACTACCACCATGGGTACTTCTCATTGACCACACAGAGCAATCATTTATCAGCCATCCATTCTGTGGCCTGCTCTGGGAACCACACAGTTGGCATGACCCCCAGCAGGCAGCCAAAGCTCTCAGTCTGCCAGGGCAGCCCAGGCAACAGCAGCGGCGTAGAGTGGTGACAGAGAGAAGGAAATCATGGATTTCACCTTGGCCGGGAGGAGGAAGCCTTCTGCATCCTGCTCTCCCTAGGGTAAGGACCAACCCTGTCTCACATGTCACCATCCTGAGCCCATCTCAGAGGCCACCGTAAGGGACTCCGGGTCAGCCATGTTCCTTGGCAGACTTGTCCCTGGTCACCTACCTCTTTCTACAAGCCCCTTCAGGCAGAGGGCTTGGGGTGGGAAGGTCTCTGTTGAAACTGTAACTGTCCCTAACTTGATGTGTAACTTAGAACACATCACCTGGGACCAGCAGTTAGTGTAATGGCTATGTCGCTGGACTCCCATGTTGACGACCACGGTTTGCGTCCCGGGCCCAGTAGCTTAAAACTCACGCCAGGCGTGTGTGCGTGGGTGCCCAAGATCCCGAGAGGAGAATGGTGAAGGGATTGCTGCGTGGCCATCCCCCCTGGGGGGTGATTTCTCGCTTTCTATCTCTCTGTCTCTCTCTGTCTGGCGAGTGTACATGCCCTATAGCAAAAAACTCTCAAAAAACCCCCCCAAAAAACAAAAAAAACACCACATCACTTGACCTCTCCGAATTTTGGTTTTCCTGAAAAATAAATGAGGATAACTTCACCTGCCTGTCTCCCAGGGTTGCTACGTGAGTTAACTGGTGGGTCCACCAGGTACAGGAAGGTCTGGGACCCAGGAAGTGGGCATCTACCTCCCCCTCCGCCACCCCAACACACACGGCAGAAAACCAGAGCCTCGTCGGCACAGTGGAACTTCCCATGGGAGACAGAGCATTTAAACGAGAGCAAGACCTCTTCACCAAGGAACCAGATCCACAGGTTCCCACGCCTTTTCCTGCCTCCAAATCCATGAGCCTCTTCTATCTGCCACTGCCATTCTTCTAGCACAAGGAGGGAAGGAAAGGAAGTTGGAGAGAGGAGGGTGGCGGTCTCATGTCTCTCTCACTCAGGGGGCTTCTGAAGGTTCCCATGGTCACTCTGGGGTCTTTGCCCCAGTAGCCTCAGGAAGATTTGCTCATGGGCAGGGGCTGTCTGTTCAGGGGCCAGCAAACACTGCTTACTCCCAGCCATGCATTGCCTCTGGGCCTGAGCGTGAAAGCCAGGCAGCCGGGGAAAGGTTTTCCCCGGAAGAGCTTGCACACCACAGGACAAGCAAAGCCTGGAGGGACCCAGCTATTGGAAACGAACAGCTGTGTCTACTCTGGGCCTGCGGGCGAGGAGCACCTGGCTACGGCCCTGTAAAAGCCATGACTGCCCATACTTGGAGTGTGTTCCCAACCGTGTGGGAGCAGCTGAAGAGTCAGACTGACCAGCCTGAGGAAAGGGGGGGTACAGGGGTCCCAGGTCAGGAATGTTTTTGTCTGTGGTCCAGACACAAAGGGGCCTAGGGGTTGAAGGGAGCTCACTGGAGAGCTGGGAAAGGGGTTCAGTCCATAAACATGGAACAAGGTAAGGAGGGGAAGCAGGTTAGTCAAGGGGGGCAGGCAGACGGCATCCTGAAGTTAGCAACTCACATGCCTTGCTCTTTGGTGGTGGCCCCAGACAGAGTTCCCGGGGTCTCCAGGACACTGCCGAGGACCAGACGTTTTGTGTCTGGCTGGGTTGTCCCCTTCAGGATGACAGAGATGATCCGTGGCAGCTCAAGGCGCACTCGATGAGGTGGGCACTGGGAGGTTACTTTTTCAGCGCCCAACCTGGGGATCTGGTTCCTCTTTAGATAATGAGAACTAAGCACGTGAAGGCTCCGTGTGACCCAGTGTGGCCCAGCACGGCCCAGCATGGTGGCTTCTGGAGGCTGAGTGGGTCCAGGAGCCTACGTTCCAGCCTGTCTGCTGCCTGCCTGTCCCAGAGATGATGGCAGGGCCTGGGTGAGCCAGAGTCCAGAGGCATCTGCAGGGACTCTCCTCCCTTCCAAGCCTGCCCTCCAGCTGCCCATCCCGATCTCCGAATCTGGGCCTGGAGGAAGAGGCGGTCCGGTGGCTGGGTCTAGGTGGAGTGTGGACATCATTGGGTGGCTTTGGGGTGTGAACTCCAAAACTCTGTGCAAGGTGTGCTGGAAGGTTCGGAGGTCCTCAGAGGGTGGGGGCTGTGTGTACAGTCCAGCAGCTCTTCCTAGGTCTTGATATGAGTCCCATTGGCCCAGCTGGGGAAGTGATCCAAGTCAAATAGGACCCGGCCCCAGGTGTTGACGGCCAGAAACACACAGAGGATGCCAATGATGTTCATGAACACTCCTGTCTTCACCTGGGAAGAAACAGGTCGGAGTCGGCACCCGCAGGGCCACTGGGCTGTCGGGATGGGGGCCAACAGGACACTGTGGACCCATCTCAGAGGGGACAAAGGGCCAGTTTGCTGGGCCTCCTGTCCCTGTGCCGTGCTCTGTGTGCCCCCTACCCCAGACAGAGCACCTCATGTCCACTTCATGACATCAGCGCTTAAAGCACCCTTGGGAAGTGGACAGGACAGCAGGGTCCTGGGGCTATGTCCATGTTAGCATCCAGAAAATGACCTCTGGGAGGAGACAAAAAGCAACAGCTTTCGGCCATCTAGGGAAGCGAGGCAGACCCAGGTTGTGACTGGGCCCAGTGCTCACCCAGGACGTGCCAGCTTCCTTGTGGGGCTCCTCAGCTCTTCCAGTGCCCCCCTCCCCCACCTGCATGCCTTCCTGATGCCCGCTGGGCACTGCTGAAGCCCCTGGTGTAGGCTTCTTTTTTTTACTGGAGATTGGAATCCATTTTGCAGTCATGGTTTCTGAGATCCACTCCCTTTATGAGAATGTTACCCAGAAGCCCACTGAAAACCCAAGGGAGGCTTAGAGATATGCAGCCCCTGGTGGGACCGAGTCAGAAGCCTCCATTTCTGGCCTTTCTTCTCCATCGCTGAGTTGCAAAGCTGCCCTTCGGAGGTGACAAGGCCAGGCCAGATAGAAAAGCTCTTGCTCTGACTGCGTTTGTCCCTAAGGCCCGTTGGGCCTCTGAGCAGTGAGCTCCTCCCTCTGCTGCCTCTCCCTCTTCAGACACTTGTACAAACCCGCTGGCTGTCACTACACCCCCTAGTCTGAGCCTTGCCCTCCTGACTGTCCTCGGGACTGTTGCTAGTTTGTGAAGCCTTGCACCCCACCCCACCCCACCCGAGTGCTCAGCCAGGGTCCCCCGGGTGCCTGCAAGGGCTTCTCCAGGTGGGAGCTTCTATGATGATCCACCTTGGCAACAGATCAGCCCATGACACTTGAGATCATTTCATTAGAAACGCAGATAATGAGTATAAGTCTGGGCATTCTGTGGTATCTGCAAATCATAGGATGTCCTTTTGAAACTCATACTTCCTTCCTACACAGACCCCCCCACCCACACCCCCCGTGTGACAATGACTTCACGGTCTAATAGGAGTAAACAAAAGTGGCTGCGTTACCATGTCAGCAACCTTGAGGTGTCCGTAGGCGAAGACGATGGCGTTGGGCGGGGTGGCCACCGGCAACATGAAGGCAAAGGACGCACTCAGGGTACAGGGGAGCATGACGTAGAGCGGGTTGAGGCCAATGGAACGAGACTGGGGAAGAGACAGGGCAACGTCACCACGCGCAACGCTAAAGCTCCCGGCCGAGATCCCGAAAGCCTCCCCAGAAGGCACCTCTGAAGTGTGAACCGTTGGGCCCTGGCTGGCTGGCTTCTCGCCCTTTTGCCTCATCTTTGATAACTCTACTGAACATCGAAGGGTGAGCTCAGAAAGACCCTCGGGGGCCTTTCTGAACTCTCTCCATCCATTCCACATCTATTTCTTGTGCACCTGCTACATGTCAGAGACCGTGCTGGGCACTGAGACTGTACTGAAAACCTCGCAGTGCCGTGTGTGCGTGTCTGGCTGTCCAGCCACAAACTGAGAGAGCCAGGAGGGCAGGAACCATGTCCTTCCACCTATGGATACTTGGGTTTTTCTATACCCATTTGAGATCATTTGGAATATGGAATTGGCATTGAATTTGGTATCCCCTTTTTTCTATTCTGTGTTTTAAAATCCAGCTACACCTAACAGCATCTAGCAGAGTAGATACTCAATAACCATTTGCTGAATACATGAATGAACAATGGTAGCCTTAGTACTATTTATCAAACTGAATCATTTATCATGCAGGGGTATATGCACATGAGGGCAGACGCATAGACAAAGACGTTCATTGCAACAATGTGAGAGTAAAATGCAGGAAACAGGGGCCAGTAGGTGGTGTGGTGATCAACGTGCTGAACTCCCACAGGGCCCACTGCAGTTTGAGTCCTAAACCTGGTGGCTTTCTTTCTCTTTCTCTCTGGTGAATGCACATGCCCTATAACCATTAAAAAAAGAAAGAAAGAAAGAAACAAACAAACAAACAAACAAACAAACACAGGAAACAGACTCAACAGCCATCATTAGCAGGATGGTTAGATAAAATGTGACATTTATAAACAACGGAATAGTATGCAGCCATAAAGAAGAGTCAGTAGGTTTTATGTGCTAGTGTGGAAAGAGCACTAAGACCCACAGTTTAGTTAAAAAAAAACAAAAAAACAAAACACAGGATCAGCTAGTGGCATGGTGGCTAGATCCCAGAGAGTCAACTGTGTGACTCGAGTCCCAGACCCATCGGCTTGAAAAGCACACCGGGTACATGTATGTGCATTCTCAAAATCTTGAGAGGAGACTGGAGAAGGGATTGTGGAATGGCCCCCTCCTCCTGGTGGGGAGTGGTGTGTGCTTTCTCACTTCTCTCTGTCTCTCTCTCTGGTGTATGTATGTACCCTGTAGCAAATTAAAACAAGAAACAAACAAACAAAAACACAGAATAGCATTTGTTTGAAAGGAACATATATGTACGTGTGTCGTATGTCTAGAAAGATACCTAAGACATTAATAACAGAAATTGTTTCTAGGGAGGAGGCTAGAGGATTATGGTCTATATACTTCTGTGTATTATTAGACATTTTTAAGCCATGCGTATATATTACTTTTCAACGTTAAAAAATCATACCATGAACACGTTCCTATTTTATGAAATACTCTTCAAAACTGTGATCTGAATGGCCTAATAGGATTACATTGTACAAATATGTGGTGGTTTCTTTTCATCGACCCCCTCGTTATTAGGGATATATTTTTTATAATAAACAATCTTGTGTTATACGTTGTTATCACACATGTTTATGGGCATATTTGAGTATTTTCCTAAGATATACCCCCAGGCATGGAATTGTGGAGTCAAAGGGCACGAGGAGGTTTAAGGTGATGGCTCTTGTTGGTAAGCAGCCCTCTGAAAAGGCAGCAGCAAGTTCTCCTTGCCCTGGGTGTAAACGAGGGTCCAGGCTATTTCCCAATCTCCCCTCTCTCCTATATGTTCCTAGCCTTGGGTCCTGCATTGTGCATGCACCCCATGTTCCAATGACCCACCTGGATGACCACCACTTCCCCCTCTCCCACAGGTAGGTGCTGAGTGTAAAGAGCTTAGAGGAACCTGGGGGGAATCTTCCTTGGGGCTCCTGGTTCTAGAAATCTGGGTAAGGCCTCCTGCGTTGTCTTATTGGGGCTCCTGGCACTCAGTCAGGGCTGAAGAGGCCGAAGCTGGGCCTTTATTGGAGGAGAGGCGGCATCACCACTGCATGCCCAGAGTCACAACATAGTCCTTCCCCAGCATTTCAGCACCTCGGTCAGGGCAGCCTGCTTAGGGAGGGGCGGGAGGCCACCGTGCTAGTTTTAACACTTTCATTTCCTTGCTATCTTTAGCATTTCCCTCTTTGCTTAGAATGGAAGGGAAAAAACCACCGAGGTTTGCTTTTTATACATCAGACTCCCAGGGAGCCAGACGGAAATTTACCAACTTCAATCCTGCATTCAGGCCCTTTGTAAATCTGTTTCCTAACACCGGAGTGACGACAGCCTCTCCCCAGCTCAGTGTAGAGTCTACAGAGGCTTTTCAGAGCCCTCACCTTCCTGGGCCCTTAGCACACCTCTAGGGGTAAAGAATGTAGCAATATGGAACCAGCAGTTATCGTAATGGCTATGTCGCTGGACTCCCACGTAGTCGACCGCGGTTCGCGTCCTGGACCTGGTGGCTTAAAACTCACGCCGGGCGCATGTGCGTGCGTGCCCAAGATCCCGAGAGGAGAATGGAGGAGAAGGGATTGTGGCGTGGCCATCCCCCCTGGGGGGTGGTTTCTCGCTTTCTATCTCTCTGTCTCTCTCTGTCTGTCTGGCGAGCACACGCGCCCTACAGTGAAAAACCTCTCCAAAAAAAAAAAAAAAGAGCGTAGCAGTGTTGTGTTGGGACATCTGAACTTGAGCTCAGGTCTCTGACCCCAAGCCCAGGGCTGTTCTCATGCGATTCTGAGGCTGGTACTGCTGTGTGATGAGTGACAGAGGACATTCAAGGCAAGATTTCCACTCGGGCCAGCAGGTAGCATGGAGGTCAAGGTGGCTGGATCCCACATGACTGACTTTGTGGTTCAAGTCCCGGACACAGTGGCTTGAAAGTCACACCAGGCACGTGTGTATGTGTGCCCTGAATCCCAAGAGGAGAATGGAGGTGAAGGGATTGTGGCGTGGCCATCCCCCCAGGAGGTGATTTCTCTCTTTCTGTCTCTCTGTCTCCATCTTTCTGGCAAGTGCACGCGCCCTGTAGCAAAAATAACTCTCAAAAAAAAAAAAAAAAAAAAGTGCCCTCCTCCCTCAGCAGGGTTACTTACCATGGAGGCAAAGATGGGTAGGAACAGGGTGGTGGTGGCCACGTTGCTTGTGCACTCAGTGAACACAGCAACGAGCAAGGACAGGATCAAGGTGATGGCCGTTGGGGGCACTGCGTGCAAGGGCTCCATCTGCTTCCCCATCCACTCGGACAGCCCCGAGGCCTGGG